CTCACCTGTGCAGGGCTCTCTCTCTCTCTCTGAGCCCTCTCTCTCTCTGAGCCTCACCTGTGCAGGACTCTCTCTCTCTCTCTGAGCCTCACCTGTGCAGGGCTCTCTCTCTCTCTCTGAGCCTCACCTGTGCAGGGCTCTCTCTCTCCCGCTGTATCTGCTCCTTCTCCAGGGGGGTCAGCAGGATGATGGGGGAGGGTGCCTTGCCCCCCACGCTCTCTGCCTCTCTCCTCGTGTCGCCCCTCTCCTCTCCGGCTGGCGGGGAGGGGGTTCTCACCGCCTCTCCCTGCCCCTGCCCCTGCCCCTCCCCCTCCTCCTCCTCGCTGGTGCCGTTGCTGAGCCCCGGGGCTGTGCAGGGGGGGCCCCGTGAGGCCTCCGCCTTCTTCAGAGCCGCGGCGGGGTCCCCCGGCCCCGGGGAGAGGCTGGGGCTGCTGGGGTTCAGGGGCTCGGGGCCCTCGTCCGCCTCCGCCTGGGAGGGGGAGAAAGAGAGGGAGAGGACGAGCGAAGGGGACCCCGCCGCCCCCAGAGGGCGGGGAGCGGGGCTGCTGCTCGCCTCTCGGCCCTGGCGCTGGGGTGACCCCTGGGGCGCGGCCTCATTGTCAGGGTGCTTTCCGTTGACGAGCGGCGTGGCGGCGTCGGGGGCCGGCGCGGAGGAAGGGGAGGAGGTGAGGGTGGGGAAGTTCGGGGGGTCTCCGGTTTTGGGGCTGCTCTCTCGCGTGCGGTGTATGGACTCCAGCTGCTGCCTGTCACTCGCTCTCATGGTCTTCCTCGCCCGGAAAACCTTCTTCTGGGGCTCCTCTGCTACGGCCACATCCATCTTTCACCTGAGAGAGAGAGAGAGAGGGGTTAATGCAGACGCCCGACTGCACACTTAACGCCGCAGTAAGTCCACTGCAGCAGCACTGAACATCTGCACATGCCCAGCGATCATGTGACCGCCCTGAGCGTCATGGAGGCTGCAGTACGCAGCTCAGCCACCAGATGGCACACTAACACCATCCTGTTGGAAACGGCACCTACACGACGATCGAGCGCAGGGACAGGTGCTCCGGTGGTGCCTCGAGAGGGAGAACTGTCAGTGTTTGGTCAGACTGGGTGATGAACGCAGGGCTCGGCGCCGAGATCCTGCCTCAAGCCCGTCCAGTAGCAGCAGTCAGGACTCTGGACCGGACGCTAGACTTGACTCCTGCTTCCAGACACAGACCAGCCCCGCGCGCACAGCAGCACTGGCAGGCAGAGCCGTCCTGCGGGGCCTGACGCAGACGCTCGTGCGGAGAAGCGGGACTCTCCCTGTATCCCTGGGGGCGGGACGCTCCCTGCCCGCACGAGGTGCTGTTTGTGCAGCCACCCCACCGTGACATCACACGGGCCCGCCCCCTGCATCTTCCCCCGCTCTCATTGGTCCACGGGCCCCAGCCAATCGGCAGGGCTGCTCCCCAAGTCTGCTCGGCAACAAGGATGATGTCACCGGCTACACGTCCCTGCCGGCTACAGTGAAACCAGTTCTGCCCGAGTCTCGGCTCGCCGGGAGCCAGGCAGTTCTGGGCCGCTGGGCTGGGCTTACTGCAGCTCATCGGCTTGGAAGAGCACCGTCCCGGCCCGCGAGTGAACCCCAGAGACCCGGGGTACTGCACCCCAGACCTCAGAACCGCCTCCAGGTGCTCCTGGACCTCACGAGTGCCACACACACACCCCCACAAACCCGACCCGCTCCGTCACGGAGGTCACACAGAACCTGGGCCGGGCCGGCGGGGCAGGATTCGAGCTCCAGCGACAGGAGCTTTGAAAGCGGATACTGGGATCTGACCGCCGGACCCGCGGACGACGAGCCACGGGTTTGCGCGGCCCGCTGTCGGACCGGTCCCGGGACGAGGCCGAGCTGGGACCCACACAGCTGCTCGGGAAGCAGGCCCCAGTCCCCAGCCCTGCGCTGACCGAACAGACCCCCTCCCACCCCTCAGCCTTCAGCACCAGCAGGGAAACTCGAGCAGGAGCCACAGGGAACAGGAGTCGGGGGTCAGTAAACCGGAGAGCGGCAGGCCCTTCTGTACACAGAGGGTGGCGGGGGTGGGGAACACGCCACGGAAGCCGCGGCTCGCTCTTGCCAGAAGACGGCGGAAAGCGAGCCAGCCGCCAGGGTGTCGCGCGGTGCGGCCGGGGATCTTCCAGGGGACCGGAACTGGGGGCCCCACTCCAGCACCTCCTCTTTGCGAGGAGTGGTCAGACGGCGGCGGCTCCCGCAGGCGGTCAGAGACCGGGAAGCCCAGACTGGGGTACCGCAGGGATGGGTACCGGGACCACGGCGCAGCTCCCAGACCACTCCAGTCCAGCCGGACTCGGCTCCACACGGGGCTTGAGCTGAGCTCATCACCTACAGCCGCCAGGCGCCGCGGGGGGGCAGCAGGAGTGGACGCAGGACGCGCTGTACAGCTCCGGTCATCAGGTCAGAGACGAGCCCACACAGACCTGAGCCGAGAGACTGACGAGGAGCCCCGGTTCGCGTTCGCCACCCTCAAACCCCCCAACGGGCTCGGCCCAGGGAGCTCCAGCTGCACCGGACAGGCAGGACCGGGGGGCACCAGGAACAGCCGCAGGGAAGAGCAGGAGGCACTTCTCTACACCAAGGGTGGTGGGAGGGTGGAACAAGCTGCCCAGTCATGGTGCAGTTGAAGCCGACACCCTGGACTCTTTCCGGAAGCAGTGGGACGAGAACCTGGGATCAGTTAATATGAGCTCTCACACGCACCGGGACGAACTGCTGCCCTCGTTTAACCTCCACTCTGTTCTAACGTCTCACAACCTGCGCGCATCTGATACAGTCCTGTTATTCTCCCAGGCCTGAAAAAAACTTTTACAAATGAGGACAATGTAAAACTGTGCAGGAGATTCATCACATTCTCATAGAAATAAAAAAATCAAAAGCTGCACCCAGTGGCCAGCGCTCACTGATTCAAGCAGCTCTAGAGTAGATGCCTGAAGCAAAGGCCTTTGGGAAACGCAGTTTATAAAACGGTCAAACACCTTCCAGTAATTAGAGCTTTAGCTGAATGCAGCTCCACACTGTCAACTCAATCTACAGATATCACAACAGCTCAATAAACTACATCTCCCAGAAGTCAACACTCCTGTTTTCTCCAAGGTAAAAGCCTGTATAATTCTGCATCTATGTCACACAGTTCAACACGACCTGCAGCTCGGGGCAGTGGTGCTTCAGGCAGCGGGACAGCGTGTCCTCGAGCTCTGCCTGGTGAAATGACTGGGCGCAGGACAGCAGCCCACAGCCCTGGGCCTGACCGCGCGCCGCTGCGCAGTGTGGACTAACCCAGCAAGCACAACCCACACGCCTCCCTTCCCTCTGCCAGCAAGAGACTGGTAATCCGCCCCGCTCTCCAGCACAGTCCAGTCTGGGTCCAGCTGTACCCCTACAGTCCAGAGCCCGCCGGTCCAGTCTGGGTCACGCTGTACCCCTACAGTCCAGAGCCCGCCGGTCCAGTCTGGGTCACGCTGTACCCCTACAGTCCAGAGACCGCCAGTCCAGTCTGGGTCACGCTGTACCCCTACAGTCCAGAGACCGCCGGTCCAGTCTGGGTCACGCCGTACCCCTACAGTCCAGAGCCCGTCGGTCTAGTCTGGGTCACGCCGTACCCCTACAGTCCAGAGATCGCCGGTCCAGTCTGGGTCACGCTGTACCCCTACAGTCCAGAGACCGCCGGTCCAGTCTGGGTCACGCTGTACCCCTACAGTCCAGAGACCGCCGGTCCAGTCTGGGTCACGCCGTACCCCTCCAGTCACCACTGTAACCATACAGAGATCATTAGCCTTCAACACTAAATGGCGCAAATTTCACTGAAGCTCAACGGGCTGTGACTGGAACCTCACAACAGCGCCCCCTGTGGGTCAGTGGGGTAGTGCTGTCAGAGGAATTAAGGGTGGTCAGGCCACACAGCGGCGAGGGAACCCCTTGAGGAGACACGAGCAGCGGGGCGGGGGGCTCCGTCAGCGGCACGAGGACCCGGAGAGCTGGAACAGAACGCACAGGAGAACCGGGCTGCCCGAGTGAGAGGAGTGCCGGTGATGGGCCACCAGGTGGCTCCGTCGCTCTCTGGTGCTGACCAGCGAGTCCCTGCTCTCTCCCCCACGCCAGCACAGAAGGCAGCATTCCAGCTTTTCACGACCCTGTCTGGACCAGAAATTCCAGAGCTGCGGCCCGGACCGCGCCGGTCCGCACAGCGGCTCCAGTCTGCGCCGCGCTGTGCCATGAAACCCAGCTCGGGAAAGCTCGGCTCTCGCGTCACTGGGTTTTGTAGCCACTTTCCCACCAGCCTTCCCGGCACAGAAACCTCCAGATATCCTTTCTCATCCGGCGAAAACACACCGCGGTCACAGCAAGCCCACGAGGCCAGTCCACTCGGTCCCGGCCCTGTGACCCGGGCATGCTCGGCTCCGCTCCAGAGGCTGACCCGGCGGGACAAACACCGCCTCCCCGGCGAGCGTCTGCATCAGGCCCTGCAGGACGAGCTCTTCCACCTGGGCCTCAGACTTAAACACAACAGCCCAAAATATCCATCAAGCACAAATCCAGCCTTCCATTCTCCTCCCACTGCCTGGCTCCACCCCTTCGCACGCCGACGCAGACGCAGCCCGACGCAGCCCGACGCAGCCCGACGCAGCCCGACGCAGCCCGACGCAGCCCGACGCAGCCCGACGCAGCCCGACGCAGACGCAGGTGCAGGCGCAGGCCGGACGCGCAGCAGCGAACACGCAGCCGGCGAAGCAGGCACCTCGGCAGCCGGCGGTCCCCCTGCGTGGCGAGACGACTCCTGCAGCAGGCGTGGAGCAGGAGCAGGCCGGGAGACTGCGAGAGGGAGCGCCAGCCCCGGAGAGCAGGCTGGAGGAGGAGGAGCAGGGCCGGACCAAGCGCTGGGGCGCGGGGGTGAGGGGGTGGAGCCGGCCTGGCAGAGTGGCCGCAGGGAGACACACAGACACACACACAGGCAGAGCGAGTGGAAAATTACAGCAGCCTGGACTGTACCACTCAGCACCACGAGGAGGGGGGGAGGGGGGAGGGGAGTTCAGCTGAGCTGACTGATGACTTTTTAAACAACAAGATGGCAGCACCAATTGTGGTGCCCCAGCTAATGGCACTAATTGCCTGGGAAATGAAGAGTGCTCAAGAGCAGCACTGAAGGGTTACTCTGCAGCAGGAGCGTCGAGCGTGCTCCACATCTCCCCAGCTCTACGTGGTGTTCAGACCAGCGACAGAGTTATATTGAACCTCCTTAATTCCCAGTCCTTTCTCCCAGAGACTGGGAAAACTGGGGTGTCAGCATCCTGTTGAGAAACGCCTGTACTTACCACCAGCCTCCCTAAACATCCGCTTACCCCAGTCAGAACACCACTAACACCGCCGTGCAGCTAAAATAACTTCAATGGATGAGGCCTATAAATAATCACAGCACAATCTATACAACTTCCTGCAGTAAACCCTGGAGTGGATCAATCTAGTGAGCACTGGGAGTCTGACGGCACTGTCACACCTGGAGTGGATCAGACTGCTGCGCACTGGGAGTCTGACTGACAGCACTGT